TATACTATATATATATATATATATATATATATATATATATATATATATACTATATAGTATATATATATATATATATATATATATATATATATATATATATATATATATATATATATATGTATCTTTTGTACACATACTGAAATCAAAATAAGCCTACTGTATAAATGTGTATCTATTTTCACATGTATACACATGTATAAAACCAAAGTAAACATACTCTTCTGGCACGTTTCTCACGTCTCTTACGCTTCTCTTCTTTTTTCTCGGCGTCGTCCTTGCGATTCTCCATATTGTCGTACCTGACGATACATTGAGAGGTCGAGAAAATAAAAGTAAGTATCGATATACACTCACTTCAATACGTACCTCCATATTTTCTATGATTCCCAAGCCTCAACATCAATCAACAGATCAGAAGAAGTGCAAAAGTACCGGAATACGTAAAACCCTAAACCCTAAGCCCTGAACCAGTATCGGAGTACGCGCTTGTCTGAATGCGTATCCAACTTGAATGGTAAACGTTCTCTGTGCGTGGGATGGTCTATATTTAACAACGAACGCCTCAAACGAAGTATGCTTGAGGTCTATAAGCCACGCACTGATACAAAATATTTACTATCCCATTTCAATAAGTACGCTACACATAAAAATAAACGTATATGTGGCCTGTGCTAAGAGAGTGGGACGTTAGAAATAGGCGTACGTTGGCTGAAAGTATTCATATTGATTGACGTATAAGTGGCTATACTAAAAGTAGTAGTCTGAAATAGACGTATGTTGGAAATATAGATATACGTACATGTAGTCCATGCTAGTAGTAGTTTGAAACAGACGTTCGTTAAAAATACAGATAGACGTATCTGTGGTCCGTGCTAAATGCAGTCGTTATGTACGTTGAAAGTATAGATACACATACAGTGCGAACGTCAAGATACCCACGCCTTCGCTGAACGTGTACTGTCACACAAACAAACATCATATGCAACACCAGACAAATAAGTACATACACTAACACACATCAATACATACGTGAGGCCCAAATAAACACTAATATGCAACACCAGACAATCAAGTACATACACTAACCAAATAAATATTAAGATGCAACACCAGACAACCAAGTACATACACTAACACACACAATCAATACATACGTGAGACCGTCATCCTCGGCATCGGGTTCCTCAGCATACAGTGCAAACTTAAGGATATCCACGCCTTCTTTCGCATCCTTCTTGGTGACTTCCTGGGACAGTCGGCATCGAGCCATGGCTGTGGCCAATCGAATCATTGTCTCGAGTGTACGCGCCGTGATGGGGAGCGACTGGTATAGGTGTAGGTGTGTGGGATTTTGTAGGTGAGTATGCATATGATTTATAAGAAGATACGTGTATGTGTAATATATATAACTATAACTATAACTATAACTATAACTATAACTATAACTATAACTATAACTATAACTATAACTATAACTATGACCTATAACTATGACTAACTATAACTATAGCTACAACTAAAACTACAACTACAACTACAACTACAACTATAACTATAACTACAACTACAAATACAACCACAACCACAACTACAACTATTACAACTATATATATATATATATATATACTGATATATGAACACACAGCCACACGCACCTTTTCCCTTCTGTTCTCTCTCAGCTGAGTGTACTCGCCTACAATATACTGCGTGGCTTCCGTGGTGAGCGTGGGGTTGATCTTGACCTTGGCGTAGTGGATGTACTTCTTGAGGAAGGTCAGATTGAACATGCGGTCTTTCTTGGACTTAAGGGGTCCGTGAAGATTCGGATTGTGCTTGACGTATATCTCGTTACTACGGTCGTCACCTTTCTCCTCTGTAGGTATAGAGTATTGGGAACGGGGTACAGGGTTTAAAGTTTAAGGTATTGGATACACTCTGTGAGAAGGTCAGGTTGAACAAGCGGTCTTTCGTGTAGCATAACGCAGCAAGATAAATACAGTGTATTCCAAAATCTCGAGAAAACACACACACACACACACACATAAATATGTATATATATATATATATATA